AAACCCTAAAGAAGATTGGAATAGAAGGGAAAATCCTTAATATGATTCAGGGCATATCTAAAAGGCAACAGCCAACATTATACTTAGTATAGAAAGATGGAGAGCTTTCCACTCGAAATTGGGAACAAGATAAGGATGCCTGCTCTCACTTCTTCTATTTCATATTGTATTAGAAGTCCTTAGCATAGAGCCTAAGGCACTTGACTGCTAACCAGAAGGCTGGAGGTTCAAACCCACCAGCCACTCCTCAGAAGGAAGGTTGGGCAATCTACTCCCGTAGTGATACCGCCTCAGAAACCCAAGGAGGGATCACTATGAGTCGGGTCCGACTTGATGGCACATAATAACAACAACAACAGCCAGAACAATAAGACAATAAATAAATAAATAAAATATATCCAGATTGGAAAAGAAGAAGTGAAATTGTATCTATTCACAGATAATAAGATCTGATATATAGAAAATCCCAAGGAGTCCACAAGAAAACTTTTAGAGCTAACAGAGGACTTTAGTTGCAGAGTACAAGGTCAGCAAATAAAAATCAGTTGGGTTTCTATACACTAGCAATGAAAATAGCATCTAAGAGAATAAAATATCTAGGAATAAATCTAACCAGGGACAAGAAGGACTTACACAATAAAAACTATAAAATATTGCTGAAAGAGATTAAAGAAGATTTAAACAAATGAAAAATATTCCATGTCCATGGATTTGAAGACTTAATATTTTTAAGATGTCAATACTACTCAGTAAAATCCCAATCAAATTCTAATAACCTTCCCTACATAAATTTTTAAAAAATGAAATAATTATTAAGTTTATATGGAATGGCAAGCACCCCCAAATAGCTAAAACAATGTTGAAAGAGAAGAACAAAGTAGAAGGACCCACACCCACACTTTCTGATTTTAAGACATACAATATAGCTACAATAATAAAAACAGCCTGGTACTGGTATAAGAATAGATACAGAGACCAATAGAATGGACTTGAGGGTCCAGAAGTAAACCCACGTATCTGCAACCAACTGATTTTTGGTAAAAGTTCTAAGTCTATTTGATGGGGAAAGAGTTTCTTCAATAAATGGTGTTGGAAAAAAATGTATTTGCACATTCAGAAAAATTAAAACAGGATCCATGACTCACACTATACACAAAAACAAATTCAAAATGAATTAAGAACCTGACTGCACAGACTAAAACCAAAAACTTCTTAGATGAAAGTGCAGGGACAGTGCTGTCAAGCTTAGCTTTCAACAATGTAGTAGCTAATTATTTAAAAAAAGAAAAAAAAAGCACACACAGCAAAAGACGGGTGAATGAGACTTCACAGAAACTAAAAAGACTTTACCAAAAAAGTGTAAAGACAAGCTACTGACTAGGAGAATATCTTCAGAAAGCATATATCTATCTGACAAGAATCTAATAACCTAAAAATATATAATATTTCTACAGTTTAACAACAAAAAGAATCATTCGGACTTGAATAGACATTTCACCAGAGAAGATATTCAAATAGCTACCAAACACATGAAAAAATGCTTGTCATTAGCCATCAGAGAGATGCAAATCAAAACCACAGTGAGGTACCATTTCCTAAGGCACTTGACTGCTAACCAGAAGGCCTAGAGGTTCAAACCCACCAGCCACTCCTCAGAAGAAAGATGGGGCAATCTACTTCCATAGTGATACTACCTCAGAAACCCAAGGTGGGTTCACTATGAGTCGGGTCCCACTTGACAGCACATAACAACAACAACAACAACAAAGGATAGCTAAGATTAAAAAAAAAAAAAACGCTGGCAAGGATGTGGGTGGGGAAATTGTAATCCTTACTCATTGCTGGCGGGAATGCAAAATGGTATAACCACTGTGGAAAACAATGTGGTGGGTTCTCAAAGCACTAAAAATAGAATTAACCTATGGCCCAGCAATTTCACTCCTAGGTATGCACCCAGAAGACATCAAAGCAAAAACTCAAATAGGACTTGTACACCAGTGTTCATTGCAGCACTGTTCATAATAACCAAGGTAGAAATAACCTAAAAGCCCATCAACAGACAAATGATAAAGTAAATGGAGTGTATACATACAATGGAATATTACTCAGCCAGTAGGAGAAATGATGTCTTTATATATGCTATAGTATGGATGAGAGCTGGAAGACATTATGCTGAGAGAAATAAGTCAATCACAAAAAGACAAATATTACATGACCTCATTTATATAAAAAGACAAGAAAAGGCAAATGCATAGAGAACAAATTTTATTAGTGTTTACTGGGGAGAGAGGGAAAAGAAAAGCAGGAGGAGGGTGATAACAGTGACAGAAATTTCACATTGATTAAACACAGGGTGCACAGCTGATTATTGTCATTGCTGTCAGTAAGTTGTACACCTATTAAAAGTTTAATTGACAAAAAAAAAGACATCTTTAGTTCATAAAATATAAGTTAGAATATTTGGGTAAGCAGCAAAAGTCAAAATTTAGTATCCTTGTTTATGTTAGGCTCCTAACCTAAATAAAGATTGATGGTTCAAACCTACCCAGCAGTGCTGTGGAATAAAGACCTGGCAAACTTCTTCCATAATTTTGCAGCCAAGAAAATCCTGTGGAGCAGTTTTACTCTGCAACACGTGGCGTTGCAGTGAGTCAGAATCAACTCGACAGCAACAGGTTTAGTTTTTTGTGGTTTTTTTTGGCTTTTAATCTTTTAAAGTATGCTTAAAGTCCAACTTGCACTCCTCTGTGAAATCAAATCTGTTGAAAGATATTTATTTATAGGATGTTAGGACAATTGAGATCATTGGGGAACAAAGGAGACCTTGGCAAGTCACATGGCAGGATAAGATTCATCCTAAATGAATGCAGCTACCAGGGTCATAACCTGTTCTTTCAAGCACAGATTTTGACACAATATGACCCTAATAGTTAAGCATGAAGCAATGGGTTTCCCTTTAGGAATGATGTGAAAAGCAGGCAGTTTAGCATTTAAAAATAATGGTTGACTTAGTAGCCAAATAGTTAATCTTTATTTTTTTGGTTAACTACCATAGTTTCTCAAGGAAGGCCAATTTTAAAATGTATTTTCTTTTTTATTATGAACTCTTACAAGGAGGAAAAGATAAAAGTAATTTTTTTAAAAAAAACATATCTTTCTGAGTCTAGAGTTTACCAATTTTGACCAGTAAAATTACCATTTCACCTTGTGGACAAGTGAAATACCATATTTACTTTAAATAATATATTTTTAATTGACATATAGTTAAAACATTAAAATATGACCATTTAAAACAAATGAATGAAAAAAAACTTTACAGTGATTTTTAAAAAGAAACCTGGTATTTGTATTTTGGGGCATTTCAATTGTTTTATGTGCACTTTTTAAAACTGATGTATATTTTTAGGCAATGCAAATCTTACTTTAAATTTTGACTGCATATTTCAAATTTTTTTGAAATTTAAATATCTGCATAGCTTTAATGTAAGATTATTAAGCTGAAGGTTTTTGCTGTTTTCCTGTAGTACTTGAAATAAAATAGTCATGTAACCCTTTTTCATGTCATACATAATCCTCAGTATTTTCTACAATTGATTGAGGTGTCTTTTTTTAATTGCAAAGAATTGGATTTGATAATAGAGCATCTTGTAACCAACCTCCATAATAATTATAAAATATTTTAAAGTGTTTTATTTGATTAAGATCAGAGAATCTTTTTCACCTCCTGATGCAGAACATCTCAGCAATTCCTTCTGACTGCTTTAGGCATTCTCTTTGTTATGGGAGATAGAATACAGGAATGAAGGCTTTCATTAAAAAAAAAAAAAGAAAGAAAAGTGTTTCCTTGGTAGGAAGTAACTAATTTGCCTTCTCAGTTGTACTGTGAAAGACCTAATGAGATAATGGAAGCCAGGAGCTGGTCTGATGACACATATCATCTTCCTTCCATTGTGGTGGCAGAGATCTCAGTCTCAAGAGGATATAGTTTAAATAGTCTTATCATCTGCAAAAGAAACTGGAAAAATTTGTCATAAATTCTGTTTTCATTCTTTATTATGGCTATAAACCAACCGAGGCAATGACCCTGATTACGTTGCTTGTACATGTATTCCCTGAGTACTAGTGTTTAGTAGACATGGAATTGCTTGCCACATAAATAATTGACAAATGAATGAATGAACGAACGAATGAAAGTATGAAAAAATAAGTGAATGAATGAATACAATTTCTAGACCTTAGTTTTTCATTCTAGGAACAAAGTAAAAGCTCAAAGTTCATCGGTCATTGTTGGTGACCTCATCTGAATGTTTTCTTCATTGGCCTGTGGAGGCAGAAGTGAGGAGTCAGAGTCTGTCTGCATCATGTCACTGAGTGGTCCCCACTCTCTGCCAACAGATAAGCAGTGTCAACAGCTTAACCCAGAAGCTTTCAAAAATAGCATAGTTGATGAAACTGGAAATTTAGGAGCATGCTAGAAATAAACCATTTGTCTTTAGTCTTAAGAAGTACAGGTTGACAACAGACATTCCTAACAGACATTCCTATCTGAAAGAGCTGAAATATTTTTTAAGACTCATATAAGCAAGCAAAGAAATATCAGAAGAGAAGTCTCCCCTCTCAATAAGGCATACATATAACTTCTTATTTTCAACGAATCAGGTCAATCATTTTGAAAACTTGAGCATTATGGCAAGAACTGTATTTCTTTAAGATTCCAGTAAAGTTTTTTTTTTTTTTCTTTCAATAGTGCTGGCAGGTCTCCTCAAAATTTAAATGAATATTTGCACAATGAACCAAGTTGTTGTGGGTTTCCTGGTTTCTGTTTTTTTTTTTCCTTGGGGGGGGTGAGCCAGCACTGCGTTTTCATCCCTTTGCAGACAACTCCGGCTGCTGTTAATGCTGAAAATAGCTCAAATGCGCTCAGAGAAGTAGCACCACCCAGCAGCTGGGATTCTTTTCCCTCTCTTATTTGCCTTCTCTCTTGCCTTTTCTCCCTTCAGACACTTGGATGGGACTTAATCTTAAATCTTTGGAGTTCAAGACCTTTTAAAAAGTACTAAATAAGCAATCTCTACATGTAAAAGGCCACTGACTCCTACTTCCTCTGTTGAGAGCAACTCTTGAAGTCAGCTGCCTGTAGGTAAGATTTTTATTCTGGAATTATTTAATTAGTTTGTGATATGTTTGTGACATGCTTGTGACTAATGTTTTTAAAAGATTTATTTATAGTGAAAATAAGGTGGGGCTGCCAGCAACTTCCAGGTAAATGTTGTGTCCCAGAATACAGCAATAGTATCTGTGGACTTTTGTGGCTAAAATCTTAAACTTGACTTAAAACTCTCTGTAGTATTGGCCTGTTATACAGACTAGTCTATGACTGAGCAGTGGATCAGAACTCTAATTAAGCTTGAGTACCAGAGCCATGAGGGGACCTTTCAGACATCGTAATTTGGTTGGTTAGGCTGCTCATTTTTAAACTTTCTAAGAGCATTTAAAAAAAATAAGGGGATACAGCCACCTGAGTTAGGAAATATATTAGTAATTGTTCTCTAAGAACAATAATTAATTCTCTTTTTCATCACTGTTTTATTAACTCCTACTTGGAATGAGGGTACTTTTTTGTGGGTTGGGGGTATATATACTTATCACAATTTAGGTGATTCAGTTTTGAGAATACCCAAGCTGAATATCTTTTGCTAGGTACATTTGCTGACAGGGTTCTCTAATGTGGCAATATAATCTTCTGTGCCTGCCTCTCTCTCCCTTCTTATTCTTGTTCTTGACATTTTGCGAAGTACTTTGATCTGTGGACTGAACACAGTAAATACTCACAATCAAAGTAAAGCATTTACTTTGATTGTATTTACTGTGTTCAGTAAAAAATCTCTCTCTCCCTCTCTCTCTCCCTCTCTCTCTCTCTCTCTGTTTGGTTTAATGCTTTGATAGAGTTTCCTTTAAACAATTTACTCAGGCATTGGGCCTTTTCACTGATATATGTATCTTTAGGTTTTACTTGTATGGGGACCCCTAACTGAAAGGAAGACTGCCTATGGCAAGATTCTCTCACCATATAGACTTTATGACAACTCATTGTTCCATTTCAAGCAGATGTCTAAAAGCAAGCAGCAAATGATAGTGCACAGAACCCAATTTTATCAACCCCTCACTTGAGTTCTCTGCTGTCCCCAAATTACCATGTGCCTCGGGACCTAACTCATACTTTTTCTAACATCAACACTGAAACCCTTAGAATTTCAAGATTTCTTTTTGCCCAAAGAAGCTTACTGGTATCACAGACCACATGTCAAAAGAAAACATGCATTTGAAACACACAGTGATCTTCTGGATAGCTTATAAATAGAGAGAGAGAGAGAGAGAGAGAGAGAGAGGAAGAACAAGAAAAAAGTAGAGGTAAAAATTTAAAGGACAATGGTTTTTTTGGGAAAAAATGATCAGTAGCCAAACGTTGGTTATACTAGTGAAATTCTGCAGTGTGACGAATATGAAAAAAAAGGGGGGAAAAACTGTATTTCCTACTAAGATAGGGAAAATGTAGCACTTTTGAACTATCCAATCACCCTTAAAATGTTCTCTTTATTTTACGGAAAACTTATGTATAAATTGCATTTCAGTTTGCTATCCTTTTTTTCCCCAAGCATAAAGTCCTTCTGAAATTCTCAGCCAGATACCAAGTTTGATGGCCCTTGGCCAACTGTCCCTACATGTTGTATTGAGGGTTAGGAATAGAATGAGCCTAATCCTGTCAGGAGACTGCTTAAATCCCAGTCAAGGACCTTGGCTCCTTAGAGCTGACACAGCCTGTTCCCTGTCCCCTGCACCTTGCTGAGAAGGAAGGAAGCAAGTGCTGCAGGACAAGTTTCTAAAGGAGTGAAACCATGGGGAATGCTATGGGAGAGGTCTCTCCAGATAAGGAGAACATGCAATTTGATCTCTGAGTGTTTGGATTAAGACTAATTTTAAGATGAATTATTATTATTATTATTATTATTATTATTATTCTAATATTAAGACATATTTCAGTCTAATTTTTACTTCCAAAACCTGGACAGTCAATGGCAACTTTCCTTGCATCAAATCTATATTATTAGGAGCATGTTAATCATTATATTTTTAACTCTTCTAGCTATTTTGATCATGTGTTTTAATGTTTCCCGGGCCTTTAAGATCTAGAATGACCCTCCCTGTTTAGTACTGGGAATCTTTGATCTGACAATGCTGGGTGTACTTGTATTGCTAAAGGCAAGGTCAGCTGCAGAGTTAAATGGAACCAAGATGCAATGAAATTGAAGGTGGTAGACAGCCATTCCATTCCTAAGCAAGCCAATCTTTTCCTGTCTTTTTCTTTTTTGTCTATTTCTCTTTACCCTTTAATTTGACTTTGAAATTTTTGTTTGAATGTGAAACTTAAGTTGAAACCTAGCCAAAGCCACCAAGTTTCACACAGGTTCCACATGAAAGAAGTATTCTACCAGCCTTGCTCGAAACCTGGCCTATGTTTGCCAAAAGTTTCATCAATGTCAGTGAGCTTGGATTTGAAACATAATCCCAAACCAGGTGACTTTGAGACTTTATTTTATAAGTATACAATCTGTCAAACAAGGACATTCCTTATTTTTGTGTCTTCTAGTGTAGTTTAATGTGTACCCACATTTTTTCCAATAAAATCCTGTTTGTTCTCTGCTATTTTAAGCCAGGTTCCAACCTAATATGAATTTTTATAGGTATAGTGCTGGCAAGTGGAAGTCTGCATTTTAAATTCTGACACAGCCTGAGCCACAGTGGTGTGAACATGTTGGTATAATTCAGCTGAAGGAAGGAAGTCCCAGGAGAGTGGTGGAATGCCTTTCTTTGCTTAAATATACCTCTGAGCTCGTGAGGAACAAACAGTAACATTTTGTCCAGGTCTATCCGTTTGACAGTGTGCCTTTTGTTCACTCTCCAAAGGTGGTGTCAAATATATTGGTGGAAAAATAATAAACTTCCAGGTTTTTTTTTTTTTTCTCTTGCTCTACTGATACACTCCTAGGGAACACTGTAAGCATTGAAAAGTTCAGTATTATTACTTGTACTGTAATATATACTGAGAAGAAAGGAGTACTCAGTAGAGTCAATTCCCTCAGAAAAGCATGGTGACTTAGAGCTGATGTGTGTGTTAACAGTCAGAGGGGGCCAGCTTGTGAGTGTGTTTTCGATGAGGGTAGTGGTGGGTGGAGAGGAAGAAGGGATTTGTAAGCTTTGTTCAACAAATCTGTCACATCTGAAACAAAAATAATCAGGCCAGGATCTGAAAATATTCCTTGCCTTTGTTGATCATATAAATATGTGTTGACTGAACATTGGAAATTATTATTATTTTGAATTATGTTTCTCATTAAAGACACCAAAGATTATATTCTGATCATTTAAAAACCCATTGCCATCTAGTCAATACCAACTCACAGAAAACTTATAGGACAGAGTAGAACTACGAGGATTTCCAAGGCTGTAAATCTTTACAGAAGCAGACTGTCTCATCTTTGTCCTGCAGAGCAGCTGTTGATTAGAACTGCCAATCTTTTGGTTAGCAGCTCAATTTTCTAACCTCAGTGCCACCAGAGCTCCCTCTTCTAATCATTAGTTTTCCAGAAGTAGTAAATAATCTGCACTCGAAATCTGACTAATTAGGACCTAAAAAGTTGCAGATGAACTGCATGAGCCAGTGTCAGAAAGATCATCCTGGATCTCTGAGCATTATAAGATGCTAAGCCACTCACGAGACTAAGGTTTGACTTGTCATTTTCTTGGAGGATTTCTGAACTCAGTATAATTCTCATAAAAATGAATTTGTGATTTCACTGAAGATTTAATCATACTAAGTTAGTGAATTAACAGTACTTATAGATATCTGTTAATTATAAAGAAGCTCTGGTGGCACAGTGGTTAAGACATCCAGCTGCTTACCAAAACATCTGTGGTTCTAACCCCCCCTGGGAGAAGGATGAGACAGTCTGCTTCCATGAAGATTTATAGACTTGGAAACCTTATAGGGCAGTTTTACTCTGTCCTATAGGGTCACTTGACTGCCAACCAGAAGGCTGGCGGTTCAAATCCACCAGCCACTCCTCAGAAGGAAGGTTGGGCAATCGACTTCCATAGTGATACTGTCTTGGAAACCCAAGGTGGGGTCGCTATGAGTAGGGTCTGACTCGATGGCACGTAACAACAACAACAACAACATAGGGTCACTATGAGTCAGAATTGACTCAATGGCAATGGGTTTCTTTTTTTGGTTCACTATAAAATTGCCATCAAACTTCATTTTGAAATTCTAATGGTCACATTTGTATTTAAGAAGACATACTTTAAAAAACAAACAAAAAAAAATACAGTTGACATTTTAGCAGGTGACTTGCAAAATGATCTTCTCATGCTAACATTTGGGAAGCTAACAATAACAAAACCAGGGGTGCTATGTAGGAGCTGCATTTCAATACTGGCTTCACCATTCATTTCTAAGGTAGTGTTTATCAGTCTATCTGATTTTGATATTCCCAAACTAGTACAATAAGCAGAGGAAAAGAAGATGCTCAGACAGGAGTACTAAAAATAATGATTCAGAACCACTCTATTGGGAGATTCTCACTGAACACATGAGGAATTCATGATTTTAAAAATATTTATCATCCATAACAAAGTAAGAAAAAGGAAAGGGCAAAAATATCAGGCTGAAAATGAGCATCAAATGTATACATATGCACTTGTTTCTCTAAATTAATCTGTAAAGACTCCTTTTTTCTAGAATAACCACATTTGTCATTTAATACAAAAATCAGTCGCTTAAAATATCTTCATTTGTGCTTAACCTACTATAAGAAAAGCAGACTACGTAACACTAATTCATCCTCCAAGGTAATATTACTACATTATAAATTTAGGTATGTAGTGCATTTGTTTTATTTAAGGGGGGGGAGGGAAACAGGGTCTCTCCACTGAAGGGTGCTCTGGTGGCATAGTGCCTAAGGCATTTGACTGCTAACCAGAAGGCTGGCAGTTCAAAACCACCAGCCACTCCTGGGAAGGAAGGTTGGGCAATCTACTTCCATAGAGAGATACCTCCTCGGACACTCAAGGGGGGTCACT